GATGTCAAAAGACTCTCCTGGAGGGATAACATTACGTCACGACTCCTTCCGACTGACCCCTCCAAGCTCACTACGATCTCAAAATCCATCGGCGGAGCTGTGGGTATGACGTCCCTCCTGTGCGAATGCTAGTTTCAAGCGTAATTCACGCAGGAGATCTTTCTTGTAAAGGAATTGAGTGGTTGGGAGGAAGAGTAAGGGGAAAATTATTATAAGCAAGCTCGTTGTAATGTAGATTTAATGTTTATCCTAGCCGTCACCGTTTTACATTATTTAAATTGTAAGTGGAGGAGAGTAAGAGAGAGAAGATGGAGCAAGAATGGAAGCCTTGAGGCACTCCTAATGGATTTAGCTGCTTACCATGGCACCAATCTCTCCCTGCAGAGGTGTCGCGGCTTCTTCTTGGTTTCTTGGCTGGCACTTCGGTCGACGGCGTGAGGGCTTGTGGTGAATTTGACTCTGGCGATATCGGTTCGGTGGCTACTGTCGTTTCATACGTCTTGTATATATATATATATATATATATATATATATATATATACAATTCTGGTGTTTTTGGAAGTACTCAGGGTCATGTCCAGAATTGTCAACATGTTTTCGCAGAGCTATTTCTTCCCTAACGCGGCGATTTTTCCCGCCCAGTTGTTTGGGCTCGGACTATGTAGTGAAAATGTATACTTTTTAAGTTTTTTCTTTCGTGTTTTAATATGGTTCGTCTCACGGACATCAGATACCATGCCGTGTTTGCACCTTCACTAGTGGTGCGCCTGCATTGCGGGGATATGGCCTGGCGTCGCCGAAGCAGCGTAGGTGGCTGGGATATTTAGAGCATGTCTCAAACGCCACAATATATATATAGTATATATATATAGTATATATATATAATATATATATATTATATATATATATATACACCATAAATTACACGAGAGGGTGTGCACCATGATCATTCGGCTGCCAATGATAATACGCGGTCCAGGCGAAGTATGAATCATCGACATCAATGTGTATATATTATATATAATAATATATAATATATATATATATATATATATATATATATATTTTGATGATTGGGTGTTACTCCTATTGTCCTAGCCCGGCATCCGGAAGAAATTCCGATGCTGGAATAATGGCTAGTAGAACCTTGGAGACTAGCGATCGTTTGTCGTGTGGCTGTTGTCGCCGTTAAACGAAGAACTCTCTCTAAGAGTCGACCGCTCGCTCCAACACTCTGTCTCCAATTGTTCAATCCTTCTGGCGCCGGTCGCTCACCCGATTCCCATCCCCATCCCTCTCAAAAAATTCCAGTCCTATCACCTGCTTAGCGCGAAGCTTTCCATAGGTTAGTTAAAACGTCTCTGGGACACTCTATCGGCCGAGGTCTGTGATTGAGTTACGAGAACAGCGCATCTTAGTGCCTACGTGACCCGACATGCGTCTGTGCTGCTTCTAAGGAGCTTCGTGATTTATTGTCTCGTAGGAATTTCTGGAGGGCTGCTCTCGAGCCTCTTAATGCGACAGTTCTGGTAGTCAGTCACCTACTGCTAAACACAAAGCTGGAGGGGTGCGTTTCGGGGGCGGACGCTCGCTGAGAAATACAAGGTTAGCGGCGCACGCATCTGCGCGCTACTTGATCCATATACAGGTATATTCCTTGTATTCTTCACTTAATTATTTTTCTTACACACGATTCCGTTCTCTTTAATATTTATTTACACAGTTCACTTCTTCTAATTATTTATTTACACTGTTCTCTGCAATCTGATTATTTATTTACACTGATCACTTCTTCTACAGTATCACACAGTCCGCTGCAGTGTCCACGGTCCACTGCGCTGACCACAATTCTCTGCGCAGACCACAATTACCCTGGGCAGACCACACATCACTGTATGCCACTTCACACCTTAGCATCCACTGCAGACTTCAGACTGCTGACTGCTGTTCACCCACTGCACCACTGTTCATCCGAAAGCACAGCTCGGCTTCCATTTCAGACAGACTACTGCATACTCACAGTGAAGGTCTGACTGCTTACTACTTCTACTACTTACTACTTCTTCTTACTATTTCCAGCTGCCGCCGTCAGCGGCGAACATATACCTGACCGGCGCCCGCCTCGAGCCATTGGGAACGTGCGCAACATTTCTACGCGACTCGCGAATAATCCGGAACCGTCCAGTTCGGGAGGAAGGGGGGGCACCAGCAGATGACGCAATTCGCGCAGCGAATCCCGGTAAATGATGCAATATTCGTTATAATACGTAGAATATTTTCCAAATTGAAGATACCCATGTCGATCTCGCTTGAGTCAAAGCTTTGAGATTTTCAAAAACCTTCTTTAAACTTTGGGGGTACTTTACATGAAGCCTCATTGGCATTAAATATTTTTTTCAGAAGCGGCTCCAAATTTGTTCTTTACATTTTTTTAAGAATAGAGTAAAACAAACGTTTATAGGTGACATAGGTCCGATTTTCAAGGTTAACTCTTTAGTTTCGGAAATTTCAAAAGTTTGAGTGAGTTTCGGAGTCTTCCTACAACTATAAAATTGAAGGTAGAGATTTTCCTCTAAAACACCACATACTTTCTCGCGTTATTGGAAACAGCTATATAATATTGAAATAATTGCTTTTTGTGCGGTACTAACACCTCAACCATTATTTCAAAACGTCCAATTCAACCAAGAAGTGATAATAATATCAATACAGTGATTAAAATATATGCAGTTGACACCAAAATAATTACGACAATTCGTGAGATGCCTTTCGTCGTAAGATAACAGTTCCGATAGCATTTCAATTCATCACTGACTTCTAAACATTCACACATCAGGTACGATAAACACTATTGCTTTTCAACAAGTTCGACCATGGTTTTCCGGAAGCGAGAAGATGATATAAACAAAACAAGTGCTAATTAAGTGCTTCTCAATAGATGCGGCATTCTTTCGAAATTTCTAATAAGCTTTGCGGATTTCTTAAAAAATACATCAATACTTTGAGAATACACAATGAGTAAAATGTGAAAAAGTGAGAAAGGAAAATAGAATTAATATTCACATTTTCAATAGGAAATTATAATTATAATTAAATTAATTATTTTTTATATCATTCAATTTTTCTCGAGGCCCGTATTTGGAGTGAAATCTGCATATGTTTCATTAATTTCAATCAAAAATTTCGCAATAACTACTCATTTAAAAAAAAAACTTCTACAAGATCTTTTTAAAAGAGTTTACTTTGTACCAGAGACTTAGAGAAAAAATCGCTTATCTTCAATTTTGTTGTTTTGAAATGTTTTTGGCAATTTTCGAAAAAAAGCGACAATACCCGAAAATGAGTCCAACTCTATTTCTTACCGTTCGTTATTACATATGTGAAGAAAATTTTTAAAAAAATTGCAGCGGTTTTTGAGATTTTGTTTTGTAAATTTCTATCGCAAATTACGCAAAAACAACTTTTTTCAAAAAATTGTTTATAACATTTTTTTAAAGTTAATTTTGTGCAACAGACTTTGTCTGAGACAAAAATCTCTATTTTTAATTTTGAAGTTTTAATTATTTTCATCTAATTTTCGAAAAATCGGGGATGTCAACGAAAATGAGACCTGCACTCTTAAACATCCTTCACAGTATTCAACAACAAAATTTAATCAAAAAAATTGGAGCCATTTTTTTTAAAATGTCCCAGGGGCTTCATGTAAAGAACTCCCCAAAAATAAAATTTCGGTTACAAATACGATATTCCGTGACGTTAGCTAGAACGATTGTGGAATGTCAATTTTGGAGAAAATCGGCTGAACGGTTTATGCGCTAGCGTTATGCTCAGACGGACGGGTACATGAACGGACGTTTTGCGGTCTTCGATTTTTCGGTATCAAGGACCCACAAAACATGGATTATGGCTACACCACGTGTTAGAGGAATTTATTGTTCTATATATAGCAACTGAATTTATCCACTTTTTCCTTACCAGGGCCTGGACACTGTGTTGCCAATTCGCCGTTTTCCGCCGCATGATTACAATAGTTCCTCTGCTTAAGTTAGTAAGTGCGAAAAAATAAAAAAAACAAATCCAAGATTTTCTCAAAAACGACTCCCAAAATTTTTTCCATAAAATTTTTGAAAGGGACAGTGCCAAATTGACTCTATACGACGATATAAACTCCATATTGCTCTATTATTTTGATTTTCAAAATGTACAAAAGTACTAGCCTCTCTCGTCGTTAATATTTACATTCCTGCGATGTCTTCACTTTATTACAGTAACGTTAAACGCCATTTTCTTAAAAACGGCTCCAAATTTTTCAAAGAAAATTACCAATTATGACAAAGTTTTACTCTTATATACTTAAATATTTCGGTTCTGGTTTTAGAAAACCTAAAAATTGAAAAAAAAAAATCATAAAATGTTGGCCTACTTTGGGCGGCGATAGACGGCAGCATGCAAGAGTACGAGTCGGAATAGCTAGCAGAGACCAAAGAAAACAGATAACTAATACGAGAAAGTTGGTGCTATTTGTAGCACTAGTTTAAAAGTCCCTTTTAAAAGAAGTCTCTATACATGTGTCAAGTTAGCATCATCTATACGTAATTACACACACTAAAATGTTGATGATGTTGGTTAAGTACATGTGGCAAGAACTTCCATTAATCACCTAGTGATGTCACTATACTTCAGGTGTTCCGATTATCTGCCGACGCTTTTCTTGCATACTATTTACGTCATAGAGAGTAAGATGGTGATGGCTATGCTGATTCTTACAATCTTCTTGTGCACGAACACTATGCGACATCGCCGCATTTTTTAGTGCCACGACACTTAAGCCATGATGCAAGGACAACTTGCATCCTGAGTTACGTCATGACATATGTCATCATGAAAACAATCTTTGGTGAAATTGCATTACTGCCAACTTTACAGCATACATGGACCAAAGCGTTTGCCAGAGCTGTTTGGGCTTTGTGAAATAGAATGTGCTGCACTCTATTGTTCACTTTTGAAAGTTTCCAGACGTGGGCTTTTTTTAATGGATGGTATGGGGGGGATAGCCGCTTCCAATGTGCGATTTATGAGTTGTTTATAAACAAAGTTTTAATGGAACTGCTGTTTTAATTCAGTTTTTAAAAACTGTCTTAAAGACATGGAGAATAATATACTATGCCGTCTTTGTGCCGAACAGAGAGATAGTTTTGTGAGGATTTATGAAGAAGAAGGACAGAAACTTAATCTAGCTACTAAAATAATACAGTGTTTACAAATTTGGGTAAGTTGGTATTAATACTTCATATTTAATATTTGAGGTGGGCATCTGTTTAAAATGAGCATTGTTCATTTTTTATAGCAATCATTATATTGATCCCAAATGTATGATTGTTTCTTTTTTTCCATCATCTAATGATTTTAATAATCTAATTAATATACTTTTAGTTTGATATATAATGTTCCATATTTTATAGACAGTCAAATAAACTTGAGGTACATATTAATTACACCTAGTGATTATTTATTTTACTTCACTTTCTTTCATTGTACAATATAAGTTCTAAATTTTTGGAGAAGTTTTTTCCCAGCTTCTGGCACATATCAATTTTTAAAACCATTCTATCAAAATTATTGCTTGTATTTTAGGTTGTTAGGTTCCCTGATTTGAAAGTACAAGTTGAATGTACTTTTGAAAATCTTAGAATTAAAAATCATGAAGTACTTGATGATTCAATCACTAAAAACAAAGCAATAATTTTGATAGAATGGTTTTAAAAATCAATATGTGTCTGAAAGGAGTGAGCAACTTCTCTGAAACATACTAAACTTTTAAAGTCTATTATGACAAAAAGGAAAGTTAAATAAATGTTCAATATGGATGTTTAAAATGTACCTCAAATTAATTTAGTTGTCTATAAAATTCAGAACATTAAATATAAAACTAAATTGTTAATGACAGAGTGATGGTATGTTAGAAATTAAAATAGTATAGTTTTAGTGGTATAGTTAATATCTTTTCTGTTTTAGTTGTATCCAGAGGACCCGCTTCCAAAGACTGTATGCATTGACTGCTGTGCCAAGCTTAATCAGTATTTTGACTTTTTTGAAACCACATCAAGGGCACAACTTTCACTGCAAATTATGTTTGATCCTAAAGTTTCAAACAAAACAGTGAAAAAGGAACTGGGGATTAATGCTGCAAACTCTAGAAGGAATAGTCATCAAGAGGCTGCACCCACTGTGGAGGATGAAGAGGGAATTGCATCTTGTGGAAGTTCAGAGGTACATACATTTTAAGGTAACGTATTATGTTGGTATTTATTGATTTGTAAGAATATTCAATTTTAGGCAGATGAAGGTGAGGCAGAGCCACCAGAATTTGTGGAATGTGTACTGTCAGAAAAAGACAACATATTGCAAGACCGTGAGTATTATTCAGATTGTGAATATAGTAGTAAACTTTCCTATTTTTTCATGTTTTTTTTTTCTTTCTTTCTTCAATGTAGGAATGGAAACTACAAATTTCTCAAGAAGAAAATGTCGTTATCCTGTTAAAAGAGCAGCGGGCTCTGCTGCTAGAAGTAAGGGAGCTATCAAAGAACAACAAACTTCCAAAGAGCGTACATCTGCAAAGGGAAGGATATGCACTCGAGCTACTCCATTGAATCAAGCAGCTGAGAGTGATGTGATGGAGCCACAGGAAAGCATGCCCCTGCAGGAACGGCTTTTGATCCAAGAGAGAGCCAATAACATGAAGGCCAAGCAAGAGGTAAAACAGGAAACAGAAACCGGTCTGTGCCAAACTCCAAATCCAACAGATGTCTGTGGTGTTGATGGGAAACATCAGGAAATATGTAAGGGTACAGAGGGGACAGAAATAAAAGGAACAGATGGTTTGATATGTAATGATGCTGCAAATTCAGGGACCTCTAAAAATGAAAAGAAAGTGAAGAGTGCTCGAAAGAAGCGTGATTCCAAGCCCAGTGAAAAGCCTCCTCGTCCCAAAGCAGTACTGGAAGGATACCCCTGGCAGTGCACAGACTGTCCCAGTGTGCTGGGGTCTTTGCAGGAACTGAGGCTGCATCATCAAGATGTACATCAGCAGCCCCCTACATTTAAGTGTGTGCAATGTGCAAAGACATATACTCGTTATCGATCGTTTGCTCGCCATGTTAAACTGCATCGCAATCCTAAGAAATTCAAGTGAGTTGTGATCCATCATATTTTGGTTAAATGTAGTGGGAAGATGCCTCTCCATTTGAAGGTGTACTGGAGGGAAAGGGAGAGAAAAGTAGGGGAGATGCAAAATATTAATTTTCATCATGGTTGGATTTGTCTTTCTCTCTCCTTCCCTGTGATGTGTTCTTTGTGAAAAGTAGACTAGGCTTAGTTTTAATGAAAAGATTGTTTGGAAAGAGCATTAATATTTGTTCTCTATTATTGAGATAAAATATGTCTATGCAAATCGTCCATGCATATTTGTACAAAACTAGTAGGCCATTCAAAAATGTTTTTCATTCACAAATACTAATTTGAATCTCACTTTTTTATAATTAGTCGTGGCATCGCACCTGGGACCTAAATATTTTGTTGAACTAGATTTATTGTAAAGTTAAAATGCAATGTGAATTTCATACTGCCCAACTTTATGCATAATATATTATACATAATACCTATACTTTTTAAAAAGTTATACAATCAAGTAGTACAGTAAATGTAAAATTAATGAAGATTTTGAATAAGCTTTCAACAAGGCTTGAATTTGTATGCAAATGCATCTTTTTGGTGCTAAGGGTTACTTGGAAAATAATCCAATTTATTTCAACATCCCTTCAAATTTTATTTTGCGTATTTGAAGTTTTTTGTATAATTGATACATTTTTGGAAAATTATGAAATTATTTTATTTTTATTGAAATCCATGTTTTGTCTTGTGCATAATAAGTTGAAATCATAGGGAATAGAAAACTAGTGGCACAATAACACATACTTCTCACATTATTAGCAAGTTTGCAAATTTTGAAAATTCAAATTGCTGTTATTGAGAAAAACATTGTTTAAAATTTCTCGCAAAATTAATACTAATAAACTATTGTTTTGGAAATATTCAACATAAACTTATTTGAAGATATGTATTGAAGAGATTGCATAAAGGAAAAAAAATCTTTAGATACTCACTATTTTTTGACATTTTGCAGTTTTTAATAATTCAGAGTTCCATAAAAATGCGACATACGCCATTTTTTTAAGCGTCTTTTGCGCCATTAGAAGAAATACTTGGAGTTGTTTTTGAGACAATTTTGAAAATGTTGCATAAACAAAACATTGTTCAAATTCAAGAGGTCGCGACATCAGTCGGATCGATCGGAGGATATCAATTTTGGTGAAAATCCTGCTTGCCGTTTAGCGGCTAGCGTTGTTCTCGGACTGTCGAGTTTGCCGTAATCTAATTTTTCTGTATCAAGGACTTTTCTATCCCCAGAAATGCAGATTCGAATTTCCCGCGCTTTAGTTGCTAGACTTTCACGAGATATCAGATTGAAATACACAATGTCAACGCCGGGCCGCGCCACGGAAGTTCGAATATCTGAGAATTTCTTCTCATTGTTGAGAGGTCTTATAGCTATCTGTAGGACACACACTTTTAATTGTCGAACTTGTGATGAAATATTAGTTTTAAAATAATTTGTTTTTTGCCTAATGTTCTACAATTTGTAACTAGTTTTACTAGTGATTGTCATATGTTAATATGAACTGAAATTGCTTTATGTTATCACATAATATGTACTTGCTGTTGTAGCACCACAAGTTTAGAAAATCTTAGTCCCGTATTTATCCGAATTTTGACCCCCTTATTTTGAAGACGCCTCCTGAGAATTTTTTAAATTCTTAACTAATTCATACTAATTAATCAAAATAAATTTGCAAAATGCCTTATTGACTAGACAATTGCATGGTTGAAGGAAATGTAAAGACTTATTGCTGAACTTTTATTTTATTGTACCTTAATATGATCTTAATCATGATTGTTCCCTCTTGAAAGTTTTGGGCACTAAATTTGAGTTGTTCATAGTCTTTCATCCGACGCCAGAACATTCCCTTCTGTTGCCAGATTGTCTATCCGTCCCGCACTTGTTGATGGCCTCTGTTCAAAACGCAGATTCGCATTAGCCGGGCGTCGAACCGAGATTCCGCGCGGCCTCGTCGAACCCGCAGCTTGAACTCTTCGGCATTCATTTTCATGTTACGTTTTATTTGATACAATGCCATTCGGTTAGATTAATAAATATCGGTCTGAATTACACGAGAAATTCGCGGTGGATGCCCAGAATACGAACGAGAATACAATTACATATTGTAGATTGTGCGATATATTTACCGTCTTCGCAGTTTGTCGTTACGTCAACATTTGCGCTTCGTGACATGGAATGGCAGTATAAAAACTTAAATCCTAATTGACTATGCGTAATCTACGAATATAAGACGACCCCGCATTTTCCGACAGATATTTCGGCAAAAATCTCGCCGTATATTCGGGTAAATACGGTAATTTCACGTAATTTTTGCATTTCCTAAATTGCAAAATCGAATTTTCCTCACTTCTATTCATCAGGAGTTATTAGGTCGCATTACAACAATGGCAACGCCGCGACCCGTCTGTTAAAAATTCTTTGTGTTGTTATTGGGTGTATGGAACTCAATTTTGGATTGTCGAATGTTGAAGAATTAGCGTTAAATGAATTAAGTTTTCGCGCCTAATTTGTTTTGATTGGTAATGAGCTCGGTTAGAACTTATAAGTGTTAATTTCATATAAAACAATTAAATTAAATAGGTGAAAGGGTCACAAAGTTGATGTTAAACTCGATTGATTCAAAAAATCCTATCTTCTTTTGTAGATTAATGAGTTGCTAATAAGTACATTAAATCATCGCTCTTAATAAACAGGAATATACAGGAAGAGGTTGTACTGCAAGACATAGTGTTCTCTACATAAAAGAAAAGTCTGTTGTGTCTGTTTATATTAGGAGATAAGGAGAGCTCAAATACCATTTTCTCAAAACAGGCTCCAAATTTGTGCCATGCAAATTTGCTTATAGGACCAGGTTTTTGCCTTCTATAATATTCTTAAAGTCAATTTTCTAGTATTACAGGACTAAAAAAAGAGAAAACAAAAAAATTTATTTTAGGCCCCAAAAAGTAGGGAAGAGAGGGGCAGAACGAAAAAGCAAGCCCAGATTAAAAGAGCTATACAACTATTTAGTTCAAGAAAGTATGTGCTATTCTGTAACATCACTAGTGTTGTTTTTATTAAATATATCTCCGAACAAGTTCCATAACCATTAGAGCTTTTCTTTTAAAGTTTGGAACAATTACAAAATTTCTGCACAAAGCATTAAACTAAATATCTATCATCTCAAACATTTATAAAGTTTAAATCATGAGATGAACATTGTTTAAAGAATATAAATTGGGTTTTCAGAAAGAGTAAACTTATTTGTATGAACAAAAATATTTTCAAATTCATTTTTAAGAAACAAAATTTCAAAAAATCCACATGTACTTGTTCATTTTTATGGAGGAAGAGATATTTTGCCTGACAGTATTTTCTTAATTCATGTCCTGAATACATAAATGAATGAGTCAACATTTTACATTTGGTCATTAAAGAATGAATAAAATCGCCTTTGGTTATACAGGGAGACTGGCCCAGTGCATCAACTGATGTCACTGCAGTCCCTCTGGCAGGGAGGCCCTGGATTCGAGGTCTGACAGGATTTTCGATACTAGGTTGTCAGCTAGGTTGAATTCAGTTGCTGTCTGAATCAGAATTCTAGTGACCGGCTGCTTTGATCGGTAGTTTTCCGTGCTTTCTCCTATCAACATCAGGCAAACGCCGGGGCAGTACCCTGACAAACGGGCCACGGACTGCTCGCGATCTTACCTTCCTCTTTCTTGGCCTACCTCACCCCCCTTACACCCACTTACACTAACATTCACTACAATACCACACATGCTGGTAGGCTGGTCGGGAGCTTAGAGCTTGTCCCGGCTGGGGCAGTGCCCTGCTGGTGGGAGATATCTGCTTGGGGTAAACCCAGCCAGCCGACAGTAGATCGGCGCCGAATCTCGTCAACAGTGGGAGAAAGACTACCGCCGCCTCATGAGCAAAAATATGCACTACGCTTACGGGACCAGTGACCCCAGTAGTTGGTGTTCCCGGAATCACAATCAATCAATCCATTGGTCGCTAAACAATCTTTAAAATCTCCTTAAAAGTGACTCCGCAGTTGGGACTGTAAAACTTTATTTTCATGGTTATTTTCCACTGCTACTTCTAAAATATTTTTAATTTCTGAAGACCACAAAATTCAGTACATTTACCAAAAAAGAACTTCAAGGTAAATTGGAAAATGTGTTCATAGAATGTTTCATAAGAAAATTTAAGTTTGGCCTTGACTTTTGTAATCAATGTCGAAAATTCAAAAATAAACTGAATAGAATAATTATCTCATGCAGCATACAATTCTGATGTTGCAGTTCTCAACTGCTTTGAGTGTTACATTGTTTGCTCTAAAGAAAAAAAGAGCACTGCCTAGGAGACACTTCAGAAAACTTCTGAAGCTGTTCTGAGAATCACAAAACCTACGATACATTCATTTACTAGTGGAAAGTTGGTAGATTGATTGATTGATGTCTTAGGAAAATATGTTTTTATTGTGAAGAACAATTATTCTCTTTTAAAGAATCTTTTACAGAAAAATACTTACCTTATTGACAGCATATCTTTATGTTGACGGAATTGTGATTGTAATAAAATTTAAAATGTGTGTTTTTTTGTTGTTTTTTTAGTGTCTTACTTTTTTAAAGTGTTTCTTAGTAGAGGGGAAGCAATGAATGGATATTGCACATCCCACTATTACTTTTTAATGCTATATGATTGATGTTTGTAATTAATTTTGATTTCATTGCAGGTGTGAAGAATGTGGGAAGTGCTTCTCTCAGAAGACTGTGCTGCAGTCGCATCGAACTGTTCATACTGATGCTCGGCCTCATGTGTGCCCACAGTGTGGGAAAGCTTTCAAACAATTTAGTTCTCTTTATTTACACAGCAAGTGCCATTTACCTGACCAAGTGAAACCAAAGTTCCCCTGTGATATTTGTCACAAAGAGTGAGTTTATTTTTTGTTTATATTTAGTTGAGCTACATTTTACTTGTATATTAATAATTCCATTTAGGATCCCAGAGTCTGTTTGATATATTGTTTGTGGTCTTGTGCGGGTTTAAAATACTGGATTCAGTTAATTATGTAGCACAGATTTGAGAACAAACATGAATGAGTTTTTTTCTCTCTTCTCTACCAAGCCTTTTTTCTTCTTTTGGATCCTGTCATTTTAGCAATATGGAGCAGGTCTCATTTTCGTTGAAATCCCTGATTTTTTGAAAATTGCAAAAGTTCAAATTTTTTTGGCATCCTTGTACAATAACTTTTGGAATCCAACCACAATAATGAAGATATATTTTTTTCTTAATGAAATCTGTTGTTGAAAAACAGATCTTGAAATAAGCCCATGTTCAATTTTCCCAGAATATGAGTACTTTTTGTGTAATTTTGCGCATACAGAGCAATTTTTGAAGAAGAAAAAATTACCTAAAAAGGTCTTCAAATTTTTCTTTAAATTTTTTCTTGTATGCAGCAAAAAACAGCAAAGAAGTTGGTGCTGTTCCCATCTTCGGGAAACTATTTTCGAAAATTGCATAGAACAAAAAACACATATTTTGCTACAATACAATTTTGATGGTATAGTTTTTAAAATATGTTCTAAAAATAAGTTCTTTAAGAAAAGTAATGAACCTTATTTCTTTTTTTAAAAAAATGAGTAGTTAGCGTAATTGTGCAAATCTTCATTTGCTAGTTTTTTGTGTTTCCGGATTGGAATGCTGCTATGGCATTCTCCCCACGAGATGACAGTTGGATATTCTGAGAATTCCTTCCCCATTGTTGGGGGCCTGTTATAAATATTGAATCAGTGTTTCAATTGTCGAATTTGGTTTGACATATTAGCTTGAGAAGAATTAGTTTTTGTACCCAGTGTTCACGATTTGTAATGAAATGAGTTTTACAAGTGATGACTGAGATGTGTGTGGTTGCCCAGCTTCGCCACCAAGCACACGCTGGAGACGCACCGCAAGATCCACACGGGCGAGCGCAACTTCATCTGCGACGTGTGCGGCAAGAGCTTCATCGCCAAGGGCAGCCTCGACTACCACATCCTCACGCACTCCGGGGAGAAGCCGCACCACTGCGCCGTCTGCGGCAAAGGGTGAGTGGGCCGCCCGCGTTGGGGGTGAAATGTGGATGTGTAGCTAGCCATGAAATGACCCGTAAAGGCTAACACGCCTGGGCGCCGTCAGATCATAGGGTTCCTAGTCGGTCACTCAACCGATTCTTATTTATTTATTTTTTTGAATTTGTTGCGTCTGCATAGTCGAAACGCGTCTCTTAAGACCGTAAGGAGCGTTGAGCGCACCGTGGAGTAATCAATCCTTCGTTAATTTTTTAATTGGACTAATCCTCCATTATTAATCACCCAGCTCCCTCTAGGGGCCGCTGGTATTTGTCACGTCAGTCGCAGTCAAGTCAGGGAATCGCCGATAGGTAGCGTCTTCGCGCTCGCGTCTCGCACGCGCCCTGCGTCATGCACCCATCGGCCAGAGTTGGGAAGGAATAAGGATAGGGGTAAGGTTTGGGGCGCTTCCCATGGAGGGGTTGGACAAACCCCTTCAAAGCATGCAAACTCGTTTTGTCGAAGCAAATTTCACATGAGGTTCTGCGAGGATTCAATGGGAAACGAGCCCGGAACCTCCGTGGTGAAAGGCAAGCGACTGAGCCACGAGAGCGTTCGATGTATCTTCGTGACTTCACGTAGTTATCGAATTCGGCTAGTGACTTCGGTTTCGCGGTCGTGACCTTTTAGTTTAGTTTTGAATCTAGCAACAAATTTGCTGTAAATCTACCAGGTCATAAAAGCTCAATTATAAAGATCTACATTTAGCAAGACTAGTAGTGTAGGTTTATTAAATATTAGAACAAGGAACGCTTAAACGAATAGCGCTGATGTCATTTTCGTATAATTCTCTGATTTTTTTTAGATAGATAGATTTATTCAAGTTCGCTTTGAGCTAATGCTCGGTGGCAAACATGATAACAATTAGAATTACTAAACATTTTCAACATTTACAATTAGGTTTACTATTAGAATTAGGGGTCGAGATCATAGTTTCAATTTATTTCTAGCTAACTCTAAATTCACTTCTAGTTTACATAGCACTTCATTACACTACACTACACTCCCTTCCCCTCCACTACACTACACTTCACTTCACTGTATAAGGGACATGACGATAATAATTATAACAATAACAATATAAGAAATAATAATAACTTACGAATTTCCCCAAAGCTCATGACATTAACAATGATGATAAATTTGTCAGTAATAATATAATAATAATAAAAGTAATAGTAATATTAATAACAATAAAAGTAATAATAATAATATTAATAATCATAATAAGAACAAAAGTAATAATAATAAACATAAATGTCACAGTCAGTATTATTCGCGATGATCTAGATGGAATGAAGCCTATTTTTAAATTTGGCTACATTAGAAGGAAGAGCATCTAGTGCTTCTGCAGGTTGTTTATTCCAATTTACTATAGTGCGATTCACAAAGAACTTGCCTATATCAGTTCTTTGCTTTCTACATCGTATTTTCCAAGGATGGTCTCCTCTGCTTTTATAATCTGATTTCTGTAATCTTTTATCGATATCTACCCATGCCTGTGTCCCCTCTGTAATGTCTTATACATTACGCCATAAACGCGCCGTTCCCTTCTCTTAGATAAGGACTCTATTTCTTCTCGTTCGTCACCAACCGCACCCGTGAATTTACAAACTTTGAGGTCCGTTTTGAATTTTATCTAACGCTCGATTTGCCCTTTTCTGTAGCGGGTCCCAGGATGCGCTCCGTATTCTAAAATTGGACGAAACAAGTGTAGTATATGCTAGGATCGGCTTTGGACTAACAATTTTTTAGAATACGCAATTAACAAAGTGCAGCGTCTCCGGATTTTTTAACCGTGATTGGTTAATATGATCGACCAACCTAAGTCGCTTCGCAAGGACCAAACCCAAATATTACAGGTTTTTATAGCACGTGGTATAACGTTAGTTCCTAATTCAAACTGGGGTACGTTCGGCGAGACTTGGTAAAGCAAATGAATTACTCTTTTCCGGATTTTAATTCCATCTTATTTCTGGCAAGCTCAATTCCCATAAACAGTTTAAGATCGTCTGGTAAAAATTTTTCGTCATGAGACGAGCCAATACTACTATATTTAGCAATCGTCGGCGAAAAGTCTAACTTTTTGAATTTAATCCAGTTGCAATGTCCTTAATGAACGCTAAGAATAGCTAAGCCCTAACACACTCCCTGTTTTAAAATTGCACAACTAGGATAAATTGCGGGAAGAACGTGCAGTGGCAGGACCACCAGTTTTGCGAGTTGAGATTGCACGGCAGACGCATTCCCGGTAGCAACGTGTTTTGTTGGGCGCAAGGTCAAGACGGCGCGACTGCTGGCAAGCACCCACGCTGCACACGGGCATCAAGCGCCCACCAGTGCGACGTGGTGCGGCAAAGCAGTTCCGCGAGCGCGGCGCACTCCGCGAGCACGGACGCATCCACACCGGCGCCATGCCCCTACACGTGCGAGTTCTGCGACGACTGTCGCCTTCAAAGGGCATTCCTCACCGGTGAGTCTTCCACGCACACTCTCACGGGGCGGGCGCCATGCCTACACGTGCGCAGTTCTGCGGCCAAGAACTTCCGCTTCAAGGGCATCCTCACGGTGAGTCCTTCCACGCACACTCTCACGCGGGCGCCATGCCCGACACGTGCGAGTTCTGCGGCAAGACTTCCGCTTCAAGGCATCCTCACGGTGAGTCTTTCCACGCACACTCTCACTCACGCGGGCGCCATGCCCAACACGTGCGGTTCTGCGGACAAGAACTTCCGCTTCAAGGGCATCCTCACGGTGAGTCCTTCACGCACACTCTCACGCTGCGCCATGCCCACACGTGCGAGTTCTGCGGCAAGAACTTCCGCTTCAGGGCATCCTCACGGTGAGTCCTTCCACGCACACTCTCACGCGGTGCGCCATGCCCTACACGTGCGAGTTCTGCGGCAAGAACTTCCGCTTCAAGGGCATCCTCACGGTGAGTCTTTCCACGCACACACTCACGCGGACGCCATGCCCTACACGTGCGCGTTCTGCGGCAAGAACTTCCGCTTCAGGGCATCCTCACGGTGAGTCCTTCCACGCACACTCTCACGCGGGCGCCATGCCCTACACGTGCGCGTTCTGCGGCAAGACTTCCGCTTCAAGGGCATCCTCCACGGTGAGTCCTTCCACGCACACTCTCACGCGGGCCCAGCCCCACACGTGCGAGTTCTGCGGCAAGAACTTCCGCTTCAAGGGCATCCTCACGGTGAGTCCTTTCCACGCACACTCTCACGCGGGCGCCATGCCCTACACGTTCGAGTTCTGCGGCAAGAACTTCCGCTTCAAGGGCATCCTGACGGTGAGTCTTTCCTTGCACACTCTCACGCGGGCCGCCAGCCCTACACGTGCGAGTTCTGCGGCATGAACTTCCGCTTCAAGGGCATCCTCACGGTGAGTCTGTCCACGCACACACGTCTACAGCTGTGCGGGCGCCATGCCCCACACGTGCGAGTTCTGCGGCAAGAACATTCCGCTTCAAAGGGCATTCCTCACGTTGAGTCTTTCCACGCAGCACTCTCACGCGGGACGCCATGCCCCACACGTGCCGAGTTTTGCGGCAAGAACTTCCGCTTCAGGGCATTGCCTCACGGTGAGTCCTTCCACGCACACTCTCCACGCTGCGCCATGCCCCACACGGT